TGGAAAATTTAAATTTTAGTCTTAATCTATACTAATATTATAAAGAGGAAAGATTTGTTTGTTTGTTTGTTTCGAATAGGCTCCGAAACTACTGGACCGATTTGAATAATTCTTTTTCCATTAGAAGCCGACATTGTCCCTGATGAACATAGGCTACTTTTTTTAATTTTAATTTTATTTTTTTTTTGGTTTCATGTGTGTTTTAATGTTTCCGAAGTGAAGCGAGGGCGGGTCGCTAGTATTTATGATAATAAAATACGTGTCATAGAATCAAAAACGGATGAAGGAAAAGGAAAAACAAAAAAAGAAACAATAATCGGTTGTCTGTAAAGTCGGTTTACTGACGATAGTTGAACGTGACAACGTCATAAGAAAATACTGATGGAATGGTTTCATTTTTCAATTATCGCAATTATCGTTGCTATAAACAATTGACACCACATTCACTTTTCACTGAACTTCATACTTGACGAAAACATGTAAATGTATTATTATATAGCAGCTGTCCACGAGGATGCATCGCTCTCTCAAGTAGGAGAGAGACAGATGTCGAACGCCGCCGCGCCGCCGAATGCGGAGGCCGATTGTGCCTTTTTGGCACTCGTCGCGCGCTCTCGCTTGCGCTTCAAACCTTAAATGGAACGCTTCACGAGTTATGTTTTTTCGTGCGTGCAGCCGGCTCCATCGAATTATAAGAGGTTGTAACGTCAATAAAAGTTCGTTGCTATAACATTTATGATACTGCAATGGTTACATGGGTATTTTAATATATATATATATAGCCCAAGGAGGATTGACGCCAGGCTGGCAGCCGGTTGGAAAATTCATGCTAAATCCTTTTTTTTAGGATTGCAGGATTACTTGTGGCCCGGAGACCTTTCAGGTTTCACCAGGAGGGGTGAGATTTGCTAACAGCTGCCCGACGGATCCGCAAGGACGTGTCTAGGGAGTCGACAGTGCCAACAACAAGTATATACAAGTATTAACTAACAGCTGTCGTAGGTTAAATTCATATTTTGTGAATAATCAATGTTAACTAAAGGCAGGACCCAAAAATTCAAATTAAATGTGAAACTGTAATAAAATTTTCAAATAAGTTACGTCGGACGATCCGATTGACATACGGCGCCGTCCGGTACTCGGGTCGGCCGGTTTAAAATATGTTCCCGAAGCTTCTACGGGGTTCTACGACAGGCCCCATAACAAGTAATTCTAGGCGAAGAAGAACACGAAAATCGAGCAACTACCACTTCGTAACGAACATTGCATTGGAACATGGAACGTCCGTGAACTGTTAATGGCTGCCAAAATATCCACGTTGGACTTACAGAATGTTACAGAACAGGCCTTTTAAGTACTCATAGGATTACTCTAGAAATGCTTTCAATGAAATTAATTAATTATGATTACTACTATAATTTATTTTACATTGCCTATTGAGAATGTATGTAGATATGTTTATCCGATAGCGACGGGGCAACGCAAAGCCGGCGCGGCGTCGCCCGAAACATGTCTTGGTGGATCCCCCGGATTCACTCTCGGTGCTTTTAGGGCTCTTAAGCACCGGTCACCATCCTCATCGAACTTGTCGATTACTATGAAAAATTCTACGTGCGAACTGGCCCGTAGACACAGCCCACTAAGTTTCTCACCGGATCTTATCAGTGGGTCGCGATTACGATCCGGTGGTAGACTCTGCGAAACACTGCTCTTGCTAGGGCTAGTGTTAGCAAATTCTCTCAGGTTGAGCCCGTGAGCTCACCTACCCGTCCGAACAGCGAATAGGTAGGGGGGAAAAAGTAGGTATAGTAGGAGGCACAAGTAATGAGCTCTCGATAAAAGAGTGGGGACCGTGTGCGCATTGTACACTTAGGTTAAAATGGAATGGCAAATAGTCCCCCTACGTTGACCGCTAGGAGCGCTGTACCAACTCCATACAAATCAAATCAAATCAAAAAAGTTTTATTGAACATAAATGAAAGTACATACTTGTTGAACGTCAAAAGAACTACCGCCAATTCACAAGAATTAGCCTCCGTCCTGAGAAGAATTTGCAAGAAACTCAGCGGGCATTTCTCTTTTTTTTTTTTTATTTTAGTTTTTTTTTTAATATTAGATTTTTTTAAATATTCATACAAGTTTGAGTTAGCTTTTACGCGGTCGAGAAGTTAAAAAACTCGCACTTTACTCCACTTGTAGGCTGGTTTCATGAGTGAAATGAAACAAGACATTAGTAGTTTGATGCAATTCAATATTTTTTATTTACTCAAGTTACATACATACAATACAAACGCACCATAATATACTTAGCATAACAACAACTAAAACATAGGATGTCTAGCTCTACCTAAAATTCATTGAAATGGTCCTAGAAAATGAACGGTAGTTAATAACAGTTTTAAATATTAGAACAAAGTATTGCAATGTAATCAATGAATTGGAAATATGATTTTAACAAAAAATTCTAATTCTAGGTTTACTCCGTTTTTATTGAGTTATTTTTCTTCTACATTCTTTTTATAAGGTAGAGAAAAATTGGTTTAACGAATTTACTGTTTATTACTGCAATGTGTTTGCATTTAAAGTCTTGATAAAATGTTGACTATTCTTAAGAAGTTTGAATTTTTATAACACAACAATTGCCTAGATTTATCAATAAAATATAATCGAAATATTATTTTTCTAAATATCTTGGCTTTTTAAACAAATTACGAGTTCAGAATAAACCGCAATCAGTTGGCCATTGTTAGCTGGTATTAATTTATATGATAATTAATATACGTTAAAGTTTAAAACAATTTAACAATCTAAAGTGCATAATAATAACAAATATTGTAATGACCTTACACTAACAAAATAGTCTACACTTAACATAATTCACATAAACACGTAATTAATAAAAGTGAAGATTTTTATAAATACGAAATCCTATTATTTTAGTAAAAGCCTAAAGTGAAAGCCTAGAAACAAATAACTAGATTTTTTTTATCAAATTCAATATCAATTTTATCAATGGAAAATTCTGTTGCTTTAAAACATTGTTAAATTTGGGCGAATTACTGGACTGTACCCATCAGTCTGGTAAGTTTCCAATGTTCACCTGAAGGCGCGCTGTGCAGAGATTTAGTCCGAGAGCCCACAAACTATCAGAAAATAATAAAATAAACAGTTTTTTTTTCTTCTTCTGCTTACAAACAGAGAGAGAAAGAGAGGCGTAGAAATAAGCCAGCTCGACGTGAATGTAAATTGTACGTCGAATAAGTCACTGTGCCCGATTTTAAACTTACTGTGCAGAGGTTCATCACACATTGACATACTCATATGTAGCACATGTCAACATATTGATCGAAAAGTTTCAATAAAAAATGTAAGGTTTGTTGTGGTTCATAAATTTTACTTACAATTAAAATTAATAAAATTTAAATTAGTATTTACTAAGGCATGTTAGATTACTAGATGATCTGAATAACTTTAATCGTTCTAATTGCATTTAGCTACATAAGCAATTTCGGAAGGTATTGACCAGACGTTTACGTACATTGTAAAGTTCAGCTGAAATGTAAGCTTACAGAATAATTCTGATTAAACGTGGTGATTATAAATTAGGATTAAGAAGTGAGACAAATCCTGAATATTCTTATAGACTAGAAACTAAGACAAATAAATTGACCTGTTGATGGTCATAGTCATTGATCGTAGTTTAAATTAATAGTTTTTATTAAATATGAAACTGCTTAAGCTGCATTACGCTTTGTATGGTTGAAGGGCAAAGCCGATTAACATAAATTTAATGAGATTTATGATATTTGTTACATAACTACATCAGGTAATTAAAAATGTAAGTTTAAGTATTTTTAAAGGCAATAAACCACCCAAATCTGAGTTTCATAGCTTAGTAATTTTAATATGAGGCTTGTAACAGTGAATAGTGCAAATATATTAATTATATTATTATTCTATGCGAAAGCTAAGCGGCGTGACGGTCCGTTTACAATCGTTTCCTACAAATTACTAAAGTCACTTAAAACTGACTTACAATCTATATGGACTGTGATATAATACACAAAGTGTTTCTTATTCTATCAAATAAAAATGGTTTTTTTTTGTTTATTTTACTTATAAAACGTTCACCACCTACCTATTAATCTATTTTAATCTTATTTTAATGGACAGAATTGCGTGTAGCTTATGTGTTAAGCGATCTGAGTGTTTTAATAATGTGACTGATTTCACATTGATAAGTGCGTGTTTAATAGAAAAATAAGCTTTTAATACTATTTTTTCGATATTATTTTTATTATTGATTAAAATATGTAGTTATAAACAGTTAAGCCAACAGTTAAAAGTGCTATGTAAAAGCTGTCCTGTTAAAGATATTGATACTTGTGTGCCTACAAATTCTCAACTAGATGCTTCTAGTTTTTTATTAATTATAGAAGTAATGTATTCTATTAATAGTAATGAACTACTGCGGGACGTGAGAATAAGGGATTCTAAACATTTTATACAATCGATTCGACTAAAAGGACTAAAATTCGACTATAAGATCTTAATAAACAATCCTAAGCTACACTATATTAAAGACTTGAAAATAATTTTTGCTATATTATCTAGGTCAGGAAAAAGGTATGCCTATGCGTCTAAGTTATAATAATTTATTATTGAAGTTTATTTAGTTTTTATAATCACTGTTTGTCTCTCAATTTTCTATTTATGTACATTTTGGCACAGTTATAGGATAAAGTATTGTGTAATTATGTAAATTGTGCGGGAAGCAGCAAAAAATCGTGCTGATACTTGAAGTTGTATGACTTCTTAAAGACACTGTTATTATGTTTTTATTTGACTAGGCAACGTTTTTGACAGTTATAACGATGCGAGTTCAGGATTTTTTCAGTTAATTATCATGCGAATCGTAGACTTTTACTATGTAAATTTTAAGTTTAGGTACATAATTTCAATAGCAACTTAAAAGAAAACAAGGGAAGCAAAAGAAAAAGTCATAATATAACCATTTAATAAAACCAAAAAATTACAACAATTTCAACTAATATATTAAAATTAAGTACTTAGTTACATACCCTCCACCACATTTTGAGGAAATAAGGAAAATTGGAATGTTTCAAGTAAATAATACTAGATCTTCTACATGTATAATAAAATAAAATGATTTGTTTATTTAACATTTCACAATAGAAATTTTGGACTTCTTTTAATAGTATTTAGATAAAATCGTCCTAAAATTTAATAAAGTTGAGCGTGAAAAATAGATGCTGGAAGTGCTTGAAGTTAATTATAACGGCCCAAATATCCATAGCGAATGCTTGCGAAGAATATAATTATAGACTTAATTTCTATTCGACTATAAAGATGTGATTGCTTATAAAATTATCAATTACAATTCCTTTCTTGCCAACATGACCGACCATGTCGGACTCGAATTTACATGAAAAAGTATAACAACAACAGTGGACAGCGGCGAATATCTTTAGTTGGGCAGGGCTGTATGCAGTATAAGCACAACAAGAGAGACACGTGCTTATTTTGTCTCTGTCATTTCTTCCCCGAAATATTTTCTAGGCCATGGTGATTTCCAGTACATTTTAAAATTTCAAGTTGATAATAAATATTGATGTTACCAGTATGTGGGGATAAGTTAAAGAAAACAAATGTGACAAGTTTGATTAGATTATGTAAATAAACAAATCATTGAAAATATTGCACCTTAAACTTCTATTATAATACTTGGACGTCAAATAATCAAAAGAGATCTAATCATAAGTTAATTGCAAGTATAAATAGCGAATAAGCGAAATTGTCTCTGGATTTAATGAAAAAAATAGCAGCTTTTCTATGGCACTACTAAAATATTACATAAAATATCTACTTAGGTACTACTCTATAGCTGTCAATGAATTTCAATTATGAAAATTATATAACTTTATTTTAAATAACATTAATAACGGTTAAAGCTTAACGTTTGGATTTTTGAAATAAGATAATATTGTAAATGGAATGTTAAAATGATGCCATGTTAAGTACCACGCCATTTAATTAACAATAAAAAATTCAGTCATATCTCTGGTGTCAAATTGTAGCTGCTATGTTTGAATTTCAAACAATATTATGTCAATATAACGGACAACAACAAAAAGTCGCGTTTTTCAATTTTATTATATCAGGAAAGACCAATTTTTACCATATTATTTTTGATCTTGTTGTAAATAGTGTTTAACATTTTAGTCGATTCACATTACATTAGTCACAACACTCACAATATTATCAAAACGATACACTGTTTGTCACGCGAACTAACCGATCTAACCTAACATTATGTTGTCGCTAACATTGCTTTTTGTATTATATATAAATTTATAATTGATTTCTTTTTAAATCTAGTTCGTTTAGAAACTAGTGTTTATCAAGCCTCAATATCTTTGCTGGTACTCGTGATGCCATCTGTTGAAGTCTATGTGGAAAACAACCAGGGAACCGTTTTCAAGACCTGCTAGCAGGAATCTGAAAATTAAGATGTATGTCAGACATAGTTGAATAAATGATGAAGTTTTGTCTTGTGTATGATTGGCCATTCATAAATGCACTACATATCGCGGGTGATATTATATTTAAGCCTTCGATCAACAATACTGATCGAAGATTTAAGCAATGAAAATATAATGTTAAACTTTCTGTCGTTTTTAAATAAAGTTATTGTAAGATCGGTACCTGATATCTATTGTATGGTGGCTGTGCGATTACCAGCTTAGGTAATTCCAATAAATAACATATATTCCCATGGATGTCGTAATTTCTAGCTATCATTTTAGGGCAACGACAGCATTCCCAAGGAAGGTTGACGACAGGCGGTCGTTCGTAAAACTCATTTCAAATCCTTATGATATTCATAGCAATGGAAAATTGGACACGCAGCGTCGTCGGCTTCACATAATGTGGGATCAGGACAAGAAGAAAAAGGTGGACGCTAAGATTAACAGTGTCGGTTGTAAATTTTTTTTAAAGATTTTACGGTCTGTTCACGACACCTTTAAGCCAAGTCTTATGTTTCCTTATATTCTTCTAGAGATTAGATGGGATGGAATAAGGGTTTTAGTAAATTTGTGGTTATTTAATGTGACTTTTTCAGGCGACTTCATGGAAGAACCCAAGAAGTTACGTTAAGCGGTTATGTTTCAATTTCTCACGTTTGTGCCCTCTCACAGATGTTAAACAATTAATAAACCACTTTTATTACCCATTTAAACCTTAAGAAACAATAAATGAACGTGTGAGCGTGCGTGCGTGCGTGCAGTACGTACTTCTGGTCGTGCGAGAGCGCGAGTGAGGCGACGGGTGCACCGGCGGGCGGGAAGGCGTAGAGCGGCGCCAGCGTGGCGGCGCGCCACACCTCCACCACGCCGGCCGCGCCGCCGCACACCACGTACTCGCCGCACCGGGACAGCACCACGCACTGCGCACACAACACACGCGCGTCAGCCGACCACAGCCACGGTCGTCTTATGTACATATATATGTCGTGTAAATAATAATAATTGGAAACAAATCACGGACAGTCATCCGGCCCCAATCGGTGGTAAAGTCGGACCCCCTCCCTGGCCATTTATACCCTGAGACGAAGGATGAATAGTGCATTTATAATACAACTAAAAGTTCATCCTTACTTTTTTTATTGCTCAGTTGGTTTTTTTTAGCCATCCTCCTTAAGACATGAGTCGTAAGGTCTCCGTTTTAACAGTACAACGACTGCCTCATCCTTAAAAACGCATTACTGCTTCACGGCAGAAATAGGCAGAGTGGTGGTACCTACCCGTGCAGACTTACAAGACGTTCTACCACCAGTAAAATGTCTCAGGGTGAGTGAATGGTGGAATTCCCATCTACACGCTCCGGGGAACACCGAACACCAAGTGCGCTATGATCTCGTCAGCTGATTATGCTCTCGTACACCCGTTTGAGGTGGTATTAACACAGAGACATTGCCGCATTCTCATATAGTGCAATTAACTTTTTTTTCTTGCGACATTCTCTGTTAGCCTAAGAGATTGTTCCAGCTACGTTCGGACGGGTAGGTGAGCTCACGGGCTCAGCCTGAGGGAATTTGCTAACACTAGCCCTAGCAAGGACAGTGCTTCGCTGAATTACCACCGACCCACTGAATCGCGACCCAATGAGAAGCTTCCGTGAGCGGTGAGACGAAACAAAGACGGCGATCGGTGCTTGAGGAGCCTAAGAGCACCAAAAGTGGATCCGGACGATGTCACAAGACATATTTCGGGCGACGGCGGCTTTGCGTTGCTCTGTCGCTTGGGTCGGATAGTAAATTTGATTAAAAGTTTTGCTCTTAAAAAGGCACCGGTCACCGTAAATTTACCCACAGACACAGCCCACTAAGTTTCTCGCCGGATTTTCTCAGTGGGTCGCTTTTCCGATCCGGTGGTCGTTTCTGCGAAGCGCTGCTATTGCTAGGGCCAGTGTTAGTAACGTCTCCGGTTTGAGCCCCGAGAGCTCACCTACACGCTAGGGCAACGCTGACATAGCCTCTCAAGGATATTAGCATAGGTAGGAAACAATAGGTTAAGCCGTTTTCTTGTGAGCAAGTGTGATCTTAGTTGAAAGGACATTATAGTTAATGGCGGTAGGTATCTGATTACAAATTTAGTCGGTGAGGATTTTTTGTAATGATATTTGAAAATTACGAGCATATGTAGGATTAAATAATAAAATAATAAAAAGGTATTGACGTTTAGTGGCATCGCGTTGCATCATGTAGCCTTCCGGTAGCAATGATTACCTGGAAGTTATCGTTGTGCGTCTCATGCCTGAGCCTCCGTCCGTTGAGGGTGTAGGCGGCGAGGTGTCCCTTGGCGTACGCGACCACCAGCACGCCCTCCCGGGACAGTGCCAGCTGCTGCGGACCCGACGCCTCCCCGCTGCTCAGTGAGCGCAGCACCTCGCCGAACGTCGTGTGGATCAGCACCGGACCGTCTGTGTGGACGGCCAACTTTATTTAACTCACTGCATAATAACGTCGCGTCGCTCGGGACTGCGGCCATTGACCTCGTGTGTTATCGGATTTTTAATTGTGTTACATTGCGTGCTTGGAAAACATTGAATGATATGAGTTTTGAATTACTTTACGTTTTTAATGGTATCTACCAATGCACTACAGTGGTTCTCTAGTAGCGTCTTGATTTTCAAAAATAGTTCATTTACAATTATTAGTATAATACATATTGGCAATTTCTTAATAAAATTTCTTTTTCACTTTCTCTGGCCTTACATAAGCAATATTGACACGTGTCCATGAAATTATTAAATTTAAAAACACTTCATATTGAATTAGTATTGACATTTTGCATGACATAAATAGGTGCACAACTCTAGAGGTGCACAATGTTACATAAACTTGTGACGTCATCTGTTAGCATAAGTTAGTTAGATGAGGTGAGGGCTGCACTGACTGAGCGAGGAGGAGATGACGAGTCCGAGTTCTGCGGAGACGAGCACGCCGTTGACGGGCGCGTCGTGTCCCGTGAGCGTCACGCGCGGCGCCGGACTGTCGCCCTCGCCGACGATGCCGCCGTGCCGGGCGGACCTGCGCGACACAGACACAACACGCTAATAAGACCTGGTCCAAAAAGGGCGAATTCGCCGCGAAATGTTTCGCGCGCCAGTGAGATACTAGGCACCAATACATCGCGTCCACAAGCATCGCGCGAATTCAAAATACGCGCGTAAATCGCGTGCACTACGCCAAAGCCTCGACTCGCGCGTGATTCGCGCGTAATGCAATGGCAGTTGTTACTAGTGGTAGGACCTCTTGTGAGTCCGCACGGGTAGCTACCACCACTCCGCCTATTTCTGCCGTGAAGCAGTAATGCGTTTCGGTTTGAAGGGCGGGGCAGCCGTTGTAACTATATTGAGACCTTAGAACTTATATCTCAAGGTGGGTGGCGCATTTACGTTGAACATGTCTATGGGCTCCAGTGACCACTTAACACGAGCTGTGAGCTCGTCCACCCAACTAAGCAATAAAAAAATAAAAATAATAAACATCACGACTGAAGCGTCATGACCTAATGGATGAGACGCTCTGTGAATTGATGTCGAATGATTTGATTATGCGAGAGTTTAGTGCGAGTCTACCAGTAGGGCTGTGAGCTCGTCCACCCATCTAAGCAATAAAAAAAACTACTTAACAAACAACATTACCTGTGTAAACTAATTAATAAACTTTGTGACTTCAACAACCTGTGTTTGGCGTTCTACCTACGATTCACTGTTCGGCAGCTCTATATATCCATCGGGTCTGTATTCGTTACCCGGGATGAGCAGCTGGCAACGCCAGTGTTAATGTGGGGTTCTATGACTTTTTGGCGGGAGCGCGAGGAGTGAAGTTGTGTGATTTGTTTTATTTTGTCTATTTAGTGATTCTTCAGGTTTAAATGTGTAATAACGGTGGTTTATCAACTGTTTAATATCTGTGAAAGCGCATAGATGTGGGAAAGTGAAAGAAAGCCGCTGGACGTAATTTCTCGGGATCCTCCAAAAAGTCCACTGAAAAAATCTCACTAAATGACCACCATTTTACTGAGATTATATTTCATCCCATAACATCTCATTTCATTTAATTTTATCCAAATTAATCATCTTCATTTCGTTTCACTCCATATTATCATTTTTCATAAAAATAAGATTATTAATTAAAATAAGACATAACTTAAGGGTCTTAGTTACCAGGTCATATAATCCATAAAAAAAAAGTGGGGTTCTATTATATCGGTATGGCAGTTCGATACTGACCAATGCCAGAGCAGCACGGTGCAGTCCTCGGAGCCAGACGCGATGTAGCAGTCCGAGGTGATGTTGCACTCGGACCGGCAAACGCACGTCACCACGCCGTAGTGACCGAATATTATTTGCACTATTTTAGCTGGGGAATTTTAAAAAAAAACCATTATGAAGTTGCCAGAGGAATTAAAATGGCTGATTAAGCAAGAATTTTATTGGTTCGTGTAACAAATTATAAAAAAAAAAAACATACGGATACGTAGACATTTAGGTAAACCTACAAATTCCTAAGGGTGGGCTACTGCTCAGATCAAGCTTGGGCAAACGGGTTGCCGTCTAGCTGTCGAATTCAATAGCTGGTTTTTTTTCCTATCTATGCTGAAACTCTTGAGAGGCTATATAAGCGTCTCCTTGACGTGTAGGTGAGCTCATGGGGGTCAAACCGGAAGTGTTGCTAATACTGGCCCTAGCAAGAGCAGTGCTTCGCAGGTCGGAAACGCGACCCACTGAGAAGATCCGGCGAGAAACTCAGTGGGCTGTGTCTATGGGTTAATTCACTCGTCGAGCCCTTCGTCGTAAGCGACGGGTTCGACGAGAACGGTGACCGGTGCTTGTGGTACCTAAAAGCACCGTTAGTAGATCGGGAGGATCCGAAATGACGTGTGCAATAACTGGCGCGTTACGTCCGCTTATATATTGATCGTTGACGTCGTAATCTGCTGGCGATGCGTTGATTACAAATGGTTATCGTTGTGTATGTGAGCGCATCACAGTGCAGCGTTGTAGGTAAACTATACCGTTCAATTAATGACCTTTGAACGCGCTCCGAGACCGCAGATATCTCAAATCGAAGTGCATACAACGATTCTATTGCATCGACGGTTTGGGACACTTTAAAAATAAGTTTCATATCAATGGAATTTGATTCTGTAGTTACCAGTTTCAGTTGAGAAGACCCTAAAGCTATTATCCCAGAAGCCGGCCGCGATGAGGAACTTGGAGTCGACGGTCGTCACGAAGCAGTTGGAGCGCGCGCGGACCCGCTGGCTGAAGTTGTCGCCGAGCTGCCTCCGCGCCAGCGCCTGCGCCCCTCCAGCGGCTGGACAGGGGATACGCACGTGTAGGATTCCCGCCAGTGTACACATGCATGGGGGTACACAACGGCAGACGAAACGGAATACACACATCCGTAACATAAGCGCAAAACAACAATCATTATTATTATTAACAACCTTTTCTAAATCATTGCAGAGCGGTCCACAAAATGTGCTCGTAATGCCGCTATTGCAATTGTATATGTATGTAGTATGTATGTTGTTTTCTTTTATTACTGTGTCCTTACTAACTTATTTTTAAGAAATAACTGTTACTAACATTTATATGGATCATTATCTGAAATAAAGAATTTAATAATAATAATAATTAAGCTAATCAAGCATACTTGTAATTTTAATATGGACATATCGCCTAAAGCCTACATGTGAGTGAGTGTGAGATGAAGTCACCAGGGTTCGTGGGATATGTATGACGCCGTCCAACTTGAGACATGAAGTTGAAGATTGAAAATCTGTAATTTGTGCATGATATACGATGAAAATAGGTTAGTGATACCTACCCGCACGCACGGCTTCACAAATACGTCCTATTATCAGTAGATCCGTATGCTGGGTTCACACGGCATTGTCCTGCACGTTTTCTTTGTATTCGTTATTTTAACGTACAATCAATCACCCCGGTGTTTATACGGTAGATTTTCGTTGGTGTAAAAACGAACGTGTGAACGAGACAGAGCTATACTATGCGTCACTGGAACGTTAAGGTGAATTTACATTACGAAATTAGTGGCATGAAATTAATTTCGTGACATTAGTTTTACCAACAGTTTCACGTGTAATTTAATACTTTCGTAATGCATGCATTAATTTCATGCATGCAAATTAGTTTCGTGCCCTGCGCGATTTTTTGGTGAAATTAGTGTCATGCAACTAATTTCATAGTGTAGACGCGACGTGAAACTAATGTCGCGAAAGGGCCTGCGCTGTGCGAACGTGCTTATTGTTAGTTCGGAGGCGCTTCAAGCCTTGAAAATGTCAAACCAACGATGGAGTACAGAAAAAAAAATACAATTCATTAATGAATATCAGCGACAAGAGTGTCTCTGGGACCCGAAACACCTACAATATAAAAATAGGGATGCCCGAGATGCGGCCTACAAAATAATTATGGAAGCCATGGAGATGCAATATGTAAAAGAATCATATATATAAGCATTTCTTTAGCTACATTGAATATAGCAAAATATAGCTTTGATGCTGACGGCGCCATGGTTACTGCGATACTGTGGATTTCGCGACACTAATTTTTTAACGAAATTACTTTCGCATATATCGAAACTACTTTCGTGCAACTGAGTTCAACATGCATGACACTAATTTCGTAATGTAAACTCCGCATTAAAGTTCATTCGTATACCTTGACAAGTCCGCTGCGGTGTAACGCGTACGCGTATAAGCGGTGTACGGTATTTTTTGCAGTACTGTGAAGCAGTAATGCGTTTCGGTTTGAAGGGAGGGGCTGCCGTTGTAACTATACTGAGACCTTAGAACTTATCTCAAGGTGGGTGGCGCATTTACGTTATAGATGTCTATGGGCTCCAGTAACCACTTAACACCAGGTGGGCTGTGAGCTCGTCCAACCATCTAAGCAATAAATAAATAAAAGAAGAACAAACGACATGTGAACGGTTCTGTGTACAATGTATATGCCACTATTCATTCATTAAGACGTATAGGTTAATAAAGGTTAGTCACCTTTAAGAAATCCACAAGAAGCGGGTTAATGTCATCATCATCATCATTCTCCTGCCCTTCCCCCAGTCATCTGGGGTCGGCGCAACATGTTCTCTCCTTCCATACTCGTCTATCATATACCATTTCTTCGCTCACTCCCCTCTTACACATATCGTCTTTCACGCAATCCATCCATTTCTTTTTAGGTCTAACTCTTCCTCTATATCCTTCCATATTCATAGTTAACATTTTCTTACCAACCTCATTTTCATTTCGTCTCATCACATGTCCATACTATCCCAAACGCGCACTTCTCAGATTCTCTGTCACAGGTGCCACTTGCAGACTTCCTCTAACATATTCATTCCGCAGTCTATCCATTCTCGTTACTCCACACATCCAGCGCAACATTCGCATGTCTGCTGCATGCAATCGCCTTTAATGTATCCTTTACAATAGCGTGTGTGTGTGGTACTCACCCCAGACAGGGTCCATGAGTAGCGGGTGGGGGTGGGGGGGCGGATGCGCGTCGGGCGCGTGGCGGGCGGAGTGCGCGCAGCCCCCCGCCGCCCAGCGGTGGGCCGCGAAGGCACGCGCTGCGCTCACCTACGCGGCAACAGACGTCCACCGTTACGTACACAATCAGTATTGTTACTGACCTCCTTCTTCAAACGAGGCTTGTGGAGAGTATTTAACGGTAGGCAGCGGCTTTGCTCTGCTCCTGTCATTGCTGAGGTCCATGGACGACGGTAACCACTTACCATCAGGTGGCCCGCCTGCTCATCTGCCTACAAGGGCAATGAAAAAAAAGCACCGGTCACCCTCCTTGCCGAAGCCGTCGCTTGCGACGAAGGGCTCGACGAGTAAATTAACCAACAGACACAGCCCACTGAGTTTCTCGCCGGATCTTCTCAGTGGGTCGTGTTTCTGATCCTTGGTAAATTCTGTGAAGCTCTTGCTAGGGCCAGTGTTAGCTACACTCCGGTTTGAGCCCTGTGAGCTCACCTACACGTTAGGGTGAAGCTGAAATAGCCTCTCAAGCTGTCAAAATAGGTAGGAACATAAATATTGCGTTTTACATTTATTGAAATTAACACGTTTTTAGCTTTCAAACGTTGGGACTTTACGACATTATTATATAAGGGACAGTGGAACTACACTGACTACGACCCGCGTGGGGCTCCTGGGACTGGACATACCGTGACAGCAGCCGGCATCGCCAGCTGCGGGTAGGTGTTGGCGGAGACGTGCACGACGGCCGCGTTGGAGGGCAGCTTGAGGCGCAGACAGACGTCGTCGGGGGCCGCCGCGAACATCAGCGGCGCCAGGTGTAGCGCAGACGCGCGTGGCGGGTGCGGCTCGCTCAACAACTGCGCTGGGGTCTGGCCGAAGCTGCGGATCTGGTCCTCCACGGCGGTCCTGGTCACGGGCTCCGTGATCTGATCGAGTCTGACTCCGCCCTCGTACGTGAGGTAGTAGAACACGTTGGTGGCCCGTACTGCTTCCGGCCCTGGCGGTCACAGCGCGATGTACAACAATGATACGATCTAGTTACGTGTCTAGAAATGTTTGTTAGCTTTCTGATTATTTCACTTTTTTTTTGTGACTTTGGTGTTCTTTAGTGACTTGAAATTTATACTCAACCGACATAAATTAAATTAGCACATCTTAATTTAGTAATAATACACGAGAGGATGCACTGCAGACCTATCTCTATTTTCAGAGCGGCACTTATAGAAGATAGAATTTTCGCGCCGTCTTTACCTCTTACCTCAGAAAAAAAAAACTAATAATTTTGTTTTTTAATTTCAAATTGAAGTAGCTTTATTACAAGATTAACTATTTTATTGTTTTTTAAACTAGAATAAAATTCGAAAATCCTGATGTAAATCCTGATGTACACAATAAAGGAAGTCGTGTAAGTTGTGGTTAAGTTAAACGGTCACCGAGCAGCGTACCGTAGTTCAGAAATATTCCAGCCAGAAACACAGAAAGAAGAATCAATTTATTATTCACAGCTATAGAAAAAAATATCATTGAAGGCCACAGCTTGAATATTTACTTAACACCAAAGTTACGAAAATACCAAAAAGATCGAAATATCCCTTAAGCAAATGACGTTGTCACAAAGCCCTACCTCGCTGCTTGTATCCAAAGATGAGATCGATCCACTGGTGAAGTTGGCAGCTGACGAACTCCGACTCCAAGGCCATGCGGTTGATGCGGATGAACTCTTCAGGGGATGAAGCCCATGGTGGAAGAATGACGTCACCGGACGGAGACTCTGGGATGCCTAGCTTGTAGCCGGAGCTGTTTATCAGCATTTCAGGCAAGAAGAACAGCTCGGGGATCAGTTCCTGTGGGATGTCGAAACAATTATACGATCAAGATTTATTAACACGCTTTTATTTAGCTTAGTACGTCTGTACGTTAGAGAATCTTCGAGCATCATTTTATTTTAACTTGAGAATTTGGACATGCTATCAAGGATTGACAATTTTATGATTTTGCTCTAATATGTTAACAGTGTCAACAGAGCGAACGATTAAAACGCTTCCGTCGCCAGTGACATTAACGAGTCATTTTGCTACGTGCAGTCCTTACTTATACACTAGAGACTCTCAGTACCATTATCCACGGAATCTACGTAATAAAATTGATGCCCGTATAATTTATAAATCTGTGAAATTAATAATATCCTATTTGTGATGCGAAGTGGTCATGTCTATTGGTTTGAACAATGACACTTTGATTTCATGTACCATAGTAGGTCCGGTAGCCATTTAACACAACATGGATCAAGTTCTCGTCTTTTCATTATCAAGAGAAAAAGAACCAGTTCTTAACCAAGGCACGTGTCGATTGTTTTTTTTTTTTTTTTTTTTTTTTTATTGCTTAGATGTATGGACGAGCTCACATCCCACCTGGTGTTAAGTGGTTACTGGAGCCCATAGACATCTACAACGTAAATGCGCCACCCACCTTGAGATATAAGTTCTAAGGTCTCAGTATAGTTACAACGGCTACCCCACCCTTCGAACCGAAACGCATTACTGCTTCACGGCGGAAATAGGCGTGGTGGTGGTACCTACCCGTGCGGACTCACAAGAGGTCCTACCACCAGTGATTACGCAAATTATAATTTTGCGGGTTTGGTTTTTATTACACGATGTTATTCCTTCACCGTGGAAGTCAATCGTGAACATTTGTTGAGTACGTATTTCATTAGAAAAATTGGTACCCGCCTGCGGGATTCGAACACCGGTGCATCGCTTCAACACGAATGCACCGGACGTCTTATCCTTTAGGCCACGACGACTTCACGACTTTCTTGACGACCTTGCGGAAAAGGTGCACATCCCTGATTCGCCGGGTCCGGGTCAGCCCTAACAGCTTCCTGAAGGCATTAAAAGAACCGTTATGACTGTCAGTACTTGAACCATTGTACCATGGTTCACTTGCGGACTAAATAATAATAATAATAATGGTTGGTTCGAAGTAAGTATCAGTTCAAAGTATCAGTTGAATGGAATAGTTGAAATGTATTCAACTGATAATTATTTTTAATAAATGTATCGTTTTTATTTGATTGGTATTGTTAATTTTAAGTATGTTTCAATGATACTATGTACACATATGAACTTGTTGTTGACTGAAATAAAATAAATCATTCACTCATCATTCATTCATTCATTTTTATGATACATAGGTTTTACATTAAAGAAATTTGAAGAGTAGTGATGTTAATTTAGCGTTCTGAAATCATAGAAATATTAAACATTTTTCGTGCCTTAACATCGGATGTGTCGCGTTGGCAGTTCTTCCATGACATGGCGATGGAGGAAAACAGTCTGTTCGGATGATCGAATTTACCTCCCTGCAGCGCTAGGAACATTGTCGTCATTGGCTCCTGTGAAACAAAAAGGCATGATGGAAATCGGCAAAGAGATTATGCTTTTCAAATAAAACGTAATGGCATTGCTTATGAAGTCGTCATGGCCTAAAAGATGAAAGGCCTTGCATCGATATTTGTATCAGGCGACGTGAAAATACTGGTGGTGAAGTCGTTTTTTTTACATACGTACTTTACATGTTCACGAAGGACCTCCATAATAAAGAATCAGTACAAGAATTATGTGTAAAAATTTTATTTATAAATTTCGGTAATGGTGGTATGATGGCCTATTGTGGGTCCTGGTGGTTAGATCTGCCGCAAAGCAATAGTAGTGCGTTCCAGATCGAAGAGTGGGGCGTCTGTTGTACTTCAAAAGCGAGACATCGGACTCATATGTCAAGGTGACAAAATAAAAACATGTTTTGGGCATGGTTGTAGTAAGGTCTATTTTACTTTTTAATTAGTCCATTTGACGAGGCGTTTAAAAGGGATATTGGGTTGAATACCTACTTAATGGAATCCTTTTTATGAATGTGTATGTACCGATTAAATCCGCGAATAGTGAAAACGCGAATGAGGGAAGCGCGAATAGGTTGCTTTTACTGAAATCAAGTCGTGATCTAAATAAATAAAAATAAGAATTAAGATTTTGTAACAATAGCGTGATAAACCGTGGTAAGCGTTAACCGAATTACGTAAGCAAATCGATCCATTCACTTATAAACGAACCATTATTTTGTAATTTCATTACGTTTTGTTGTGCGATTAGATCGTTGTTCATTTAATCCATTAAGTACTGCGGTTTGCTGTAAGCTGTAACTGCTAATGTTGTTGTGTGGTTGTTGTACGAGGTAATATTATCTGTTCAAATTGAATTATTACGAGAAAATAGATAGCAAATCATCATCAATACTCATTTATTTTCCTTATTATATCCTCCGCTATTGAGTGACGTGACTTGGCCAGGGTTATAATCGATTTTGTGAACGAATTACTTATCTAACAAATCTTCACAAACGTCTTCCATTATGAAGGGATAATGTGGTGTTATACAAATTAACAATGCAACTTTATTGAGGAATTATTGATAGGACGAATTGAAGCGAAGCTGGCAGTGGAACGGCCATATATGCTGTAGAAGTGACATCGCTAAAGCAGACGGATTCTCGAGTGGAGACCGCGCAGCGAAAAACTTTACGTGAGACGCCCCCTGGCTAGGTGGTTCGATGACCTCCGAACGGTGGCCGGAAAGAGATGGAGAGCCGGAGACCGGGCTCAGTGGTGTGGATTGGGAGAGACCTATGACCAGCAGTGGACGACTGTGATGATGATGAGGGCGAATTTGGAGACAAGTTGGGTACCACGGTTTTGAATTCTGTTGCCGCGAAGAATTAATGTGTTTAAAGCGTGGGGCAGTTTTTTTTATTGCCCTTGTAGGAAGACGAGCATACGGCTCACCTGATGGTGAATGGTTACCGTCGCCCATGGACTTCAGCAATGCCAGGGGCAGAGCCAAGCCGCTGCCTACCTACCTACTGCCTAACGTATTTGACGTGTGTGGTGTGGTGGCATTCACATTGTAATATCTATAGTCCATAGAATAATTTAATACTTCAAAATCTGTATGTATAAAAGGTGATGTGTGTGTGTCTGCGTGTACGTTCCATATAGACTCGGATAAGGACGTACCGATTTCGATGAAATTTTCAGGGAATCTTCATATTAAAGTTTGGTCGAGATCGGATCGAAATCAAATCAAAGATCGGCCAGCGGGCCAGCAAGGGTTTGTCTAGTATGTCATAAGACGACATGGACTCACGCTCCAACGTATCTCTAGTAAATACTACTTACGATTCGAACGAGCCAATTGAGCACGAAGGCAGCAGTGGAGTAGTGTGTGCCGTAGTGGAAGGGGGGCGTGGACTCGTGCTCCCACGTGTTATACCGCTCCTCGAAGTACGCACGTCGGCTGGGGTTCAATGCACCTATGGGCTGGAAGGCAACGAGAACTTATGGTTTACGGTTCGTTCAACATGGTAGCGTGTCCAACTAATAATGATCAGCTACGGCAGCCTTTCCCAAAGTGGGCGATAACGCCCCCTCGTGGGCGCTGCAGGCCTACATGGAGGCGGTAAGAGACCCAGAAAACAAAATGGGGGCGTTGTATAGAGACTTGGGAAGCGATTTGTAATTTCATCTAGGAGAACTCTTAGACACCGACTCAGCTCTAGCTATAGTAGTTTTTAAGTAGGACAAAAATATTGAAGCGCTAAAAAAGAATTTATTCTCAAAGTGGGCAGTAGACAAAATAAGTTTGGGAACCTAAGCTTAAACTTAAATTTCTAAATTTCTCTTCTCTGTTCACTTCCTACATAAGTATATGTGATTTTGATTGTGGAAGCATATTTGGTTATTGTTTTAGTTATTTTTTAAAAATATTATATGTTTGTATTGTACTGTTTGTTTCCCAAATAAATATATAAACCCCTGACAGCTACGGGATCCTCAAGCCACTTTTTCCATTTAATCTGTCCGCAGTATCCCCGAATTTTATATTTTAATACCTTCCCCTACCACTAAAACATATATCGAGTAGATAAGTTCTTGGCCAGTATAAATATTGACGTAATATTGCAGATACGTGTTTCTCGGAGTAATCTCGTATAGCAATGATACTATACAAACATCATTTAAGAAGTTCAAATTTTATAGCTACGTGAACGAAGCTAATTCAGGGTATTTTCATTCTAACCCATAGACACAGCCCACTGAGTTTCTCGCCGGATCTTCTCAGTGGGTCGCGTTTCCGATCCGGTGGTAGATTTTGCGAAGGACTGCTCTTGCTAGGGCCAGTGTTAGCAAATTAAAATTTATTATTACATAACACGGCCGTAAATACTAGTCGTATACTTTGCCAAGTGGATCGGCGCCCTGTTTACCAATCCTTCGAGTGTGTCATCTCGGTATAGATGTGAGTTTATTTATGAGATCCTGTCACGAGTTAGTCATTTCCTGTCATGTGTTGGGGAAATTGTCAATTGTCACACACACACGCGATGTGGCAAGCTCTATCAAGTGATCAGATCAGGCGCCAAGGCGTCGGAGATACAACTGTTAATATTATTTCATACTTGTATTTGTTTTGTGGACGTTTCTTTACATCGTTCCAGGTGGTAAACGAAGATGCAGCTCATTTGAGTGGTAGTGAATAAAGTCACCAAGAGCTTTATGTAATATCAGGGTCACAATGGCGGTTTGCGTTGGTGTATACCATGTCAATATTCTCTTATTCAAGCTAAGCTAAACAGTGCTTGAATTTTTTAATCATACAAATCGTTCACACGTGTTATTTGTACCTGCTGTACTCAATGCTTCACTTGTGCACATCCCGATTAACGGTGCTTTTAGGTACCACAAGCACCGGTCACCGTCCTTGCCGAGCCCGTCGCTTGCGATGAAGGGCTCGACGAGTGAATTAACCCATAGACATAGCCCACTGAGTTTCTCGCCGTACATTCTCAGTGGGTCGCGTTTCCGATGCGGTGGTAGATTCTGCGAAGCACTGCTCTTGCTAGGGTCAGTATTAGCAACACGCTCGCATACCTTTGATAGATCCCTGAAGTTTGAAGGCTGGCTAAGGTCGAGTTCTTCGCTCTCATAGTTGGTGAGGATCCACGGGAACACGGGGTACTGGTTCAGGTCGTTGTACGTGCGACCTGGAATTAAAAAACAAACCCGTTTATAATATATGCGCAATTTATACACTTTATCTCATATAGGAATAGCACCGCCCAATTTCTTCTGAGGAATGTTGTGAGGGGACTAAAAGATCCAATGGAGGGCAACAGGGTTATTTGTGTTCTCTGCCTCTCTGAGCATTAATATCAGCGGATTACGATCGCGTAATCCTTAGATGGGTGAATTAGATCACTGTCTACCTGGTCTTACCGGAACCCACAGACAATACAATGTAATAGCTCACCAACCTTGAGACATGAGGTCGAAGTCACATTTGAATCATACAACGATTGTCCCAGTCTGCTGTTTCGTGCCAGAATAGGACAGGAAGGTGGCATCTACCCGTGTGAGTGCACAATACATCACACTGGATTTCGTATGCTTAGTACGAGTTTTTTAACGTTCTCGATAGCGTAAAAGTTAACACAAATTTCTATGCAGTTAGAACAGCGCCCCTAGCGGCAAACGTAGGCATACGTTCCGAATTCATACAAATTTGAGTTAACTTTTACGTTGTCGAGAATGTTAAAAAACTCGCTTTTTTTTTTCTTACCTAATCTGATGGCCTAGAGAGACCATATTAGCGTCACCGGGCGAGTAGGTGAGCTCACGGGGCTCAAACCTGACGGTGCTGCTAACACGAACCCTAACAAGAGCCGTGTTTCGCAGAATCCACCACCGGATCAGAAACGCGACCCAGTGAGAAGATCCGCCGAGAAACTAAGTGGGCTGTGTCTAAAGGGTAGACTCGCACTAAGCACTCACATAATCAAATCATTCGACATCATTTCACAGAGCGTCTCATCCATTATGTCGTGATGTTTATTATTATAATTTTTTATTTATTTCTTAGTTGGGTGGACGAGCTCACAGCTCGTGTTAAGTGGTCACTGGAGCCCATAGACATCTACAACGTAAATGCGCCACCCACTTTGAGATATAAGTTCTAAGGTCTCAGCATAGTTACAACGGCTGCCCTACCCTTCAGACCGAAACGCATTACTGCTTCACGGAAGAAATAGGTAAGGCGGTGGTACCTACCCGCGCGGACTCACAAGAGGTCCTACCACCAGTAATTACGTCAGAATGTGTTCACTGATAGTCGGGCAGAGAGGTTTGGTCAACGGTTACATTTGTGACGTCATTCAGTTTGAGCTATCAATAAACATTTCAATCATTACATAAGAGATCGACCACACTTCGAACCGAAATTCACAGTTGACTAGTTGTTATCGCAATGTGCAGCGTAGACTTTCTTTGATTTCCTCGTATTATTCAGCACTAGGTCGAGTAACCGTAGTTAATGAAGAATTTCGATTCCAGCGCTCGCGACCGTTTTAAGTGAAACCTTTGTTCGTATGTAATTTTAGTTACTACGCCAAGTTATCTTTTATTGGCACGCTTTTATTAGCTAGTCCTCTATTTATCAATGTAGGGGAATCTTTTAAACTAATTTACAATTAACTTCGAGACGATTAACTTGAAAGTTTGCATATGTATCAAAAAACGAAGACCATACAATAATTTTAGTACTTTAACCTAATTAAATATTATCTTAATTTTTAGTTTGGCTTACTTATATTTATTTAAATCAAAATATGTCGTATATGTATTAAATATATTTGTATGAAGATTTTCATCAATAAACTAGTGATCATAAAAATTGCTTTCTACAAATAAAATCAAATAGCATGTTTTCTAATTTTTTTATTGCTTAGGTGGGTGGACGAGCTCACAGCCCACCTGGTATTAAGTGGTAACTGGAGCCCATACACATCTAGAACGTATAGATGTAAGTTCTAAGGTCTCAAATATAGTTACAACGGCACCCCACCCTTCAAACCGAAACGCATTGCTGCTTCACGCCAGAAATAGGCAGGGTGATGGTACCTACCCGCGCGGACTCACAAGAGGTTCTACCACCAGTAAACATATTTGTCTTATTAAATTTAGACTGATAGAAGTCTAAATCGAAACGTTATCTTAAGTTCCAGCAGCCCATAACTCCGGCCTCGGCGCAATGTTGTAACAAGCAAATTGTTTGCCAATACATCCTTCACTTATTTTCTAGTCATAGGCACTTCAATGGTTTTGATAGTTGCATAAAAACTCATTGTCTATGGTATTGCGATTTTTTTTTTTTTTTCATAAGGAAATGACCTAGTTTTCGCACTGAGATATTTTTAGTTTGAGAATAAATACATCAGAATTGAATATTCGATGTTAATTTTATGAGTAAGCTGTTTAATTCTTAGAGGCAAGCTTCTCTTTGACTTTTGTATTGCGTTTCCAAATATACCACCTACTATCGTATTGTGTAGGATATTTTTCCTGAAATTCCAAAAAACAATACTAAGCTCAATAATCGATAATAATAAATGCGCCATTGCATAGAAATAAAAAACGTAAGATTTTCATTTTGGATGTATGTATGTACCTATCTAGATTATATTACAGGACTATTTTATGAATCCGCCAAATATTTGTAGGCATTTTATATATATGTATTAATTATTTTCACGTTTCAGAGAAATCGACATTAAATATTTTTTTTTATTTTTTTTTTATTGCTTAGATGGGTGGACGAGCTCACAGCCCACCTGATGTTAAGTGGTTACTGGACCCCATAGACATCCACGACGTAAATGCGCCACCCACTTTGAGATATAACTTCTAAGGTCTCAAGTATAGTTACAACGGCTGCCTCACCCTTCAAACCGAAACGCATTACTGCCATACCAAGACAAGACCAATTGTATGATATAAAAAAAAAATGTGAAATTTTCAGTTAGAGGCTGCATTAACTAGTTCATTACTAAATAAAGTTGCCTATTTCTGCCGTGAAGCAGTAATTCGGTTCGGTTTGAAGGGCGGGGCAGCCGTTGTAACTATACTGATCTTAGAACTTGTATCAAGGTGGGTGGCGCATTTACGTTATAGAAGTCTATGGGCTCTAGTAGCCACTTAACACCAGGTGGGCTGATAGTTCGTCCACCCATATAAGTAATATAAAAATATTAATTAACTAAATATTAAATATTAATATCAATCTACAAACACATTATATTATTGTTCATTTTACAAATAATTGTAGTTTACAGTGTAGGAATATACGACAAAGGGAAGATCTTCCACCGAGCGGGTGATATTGCTCGGTAGACCGACGGTCCGAATGTTGTTGTTCGGAACTTGTATATATGCGCTTTATCTTGAAAATGTCGTAAGCGAGATTCAGGCATCTGTCAATTATCTTGCGTAGTATGATGGCTACCCACCACAACACTCCCCTCCGAGACCGGAGGTCGTGTCATATTTAGTTATCGTTGTCCGTGCTGAGATTAGCTTGCAAGTGCCAGTGCTGCTCGAAGTTTGCGGTGAGCCGAAACTGAGCTTGAATGCTGCGTGATTGTCGCCAGTGCTGCTCGAAGTCTGCGGTGAGTCGAGACTGAGCTTGAATGCTGCGCGATGAGGCAGTGTAGGTGCGTGCCGTAGGGCCAGGAAGCGCGGTGAGTCGGCTGCGATGGTCCTGTTGAGGCTGCGATGCTGGCTAGCTGTGGGACGACTGTCGATGACTTGCTTTTATCTGCGAGAATGCGGGGATTGTGGTAGCCGAAGTTCTTGATGCGTTGATGATGAATCAGAAGGTTGCGATTGTTCCGTCGTAGGTCACCAGTTGTAGGAATATACGACAAAGGGAAGATCTTCCACCGAGCGGGTGATATTGCTCGGTAGACCGACGGTCCGAATGTTGTTGTTCGGAACTTGTATATATGCGCTTTATCTTGAAAATGTCGTAAGCGAGATTCAGGCATCTGTCAATTATCTTGCGTAGTATGATGGCTACCCACCACAACAGTGAAACTCGGTCACAATCCGCTATCGCTTATTGTATGACAAACATGATAATCTTGAAACTACCGTCTCCGCGCGCCTCCTATCTTACGTCGAAGGCACTAGGAAGGAACCTTCCTTGAAGTGGCAACAGTAACTGTACCAAGTTTAATCAGTATTGGTTTGGGTACGCATAGAGGACAAACCAACAGACATATGTTTTTTTACTGATGGTAGGACCTCTTGTGAGTCCGCACGGGTAGGTACCACCGCCTTACCTATTTCTTCCGTGAAGCAGTAACGCGTTTCGGTCTGAAGGGTAGGGCAGCCGTTGTAACTATACTGAGACCTTAGAACTTATATCGCAAGGTGGCTGGCGGAATTTACGTTGTAGATGTCTATGGGCTCCGGTAACCACTTAACACCGGGTGGGCTGTGAGCTCGTCCATCCATCTATACAATAAGTAAATAAAAACAACGAGTATTGAATTTAACATTTATCTTCAGTAATGTATATAGTTTGATTATATTCAGTAAAATCAGCTTCTGGGTGGCTGACCACGGGCTTAGTGAGCAGGGGCGGCATTCGCTTCGACAGGTGTTCGAGTCTCCGATGGGGACCTAACAGCCCAAGGGTAGCTGCTTTGCGAAAATAGATCTATACATATCGGTTGTAATGTCAGTCCGTCAGACCTCTCAGGTACTGAATGTAATTGTTTGTTCGTCCTATGACCTCAAGCCGTTATCGGCGGGTTCAAGACGACGATAAACGACAGTAACAGTTCAATTGTGATACCGCATTGTACTTTTCCCGGCCGGCGGGACGGTCGTCGCACGTAACCAGACAATTGAGTGCAGTGGGTCGTGGTAAAAAGTTACGACAAAGAAAAAAAAAACTAACAAAATCGGTGTTCGAAAATATGGGTTTTTTTTTCAAACAACAAAATGAAAATTTAACCACCAATATCGTTTTGTTAAAAAAAAAAGAGAAATCGTGAACTAAGAAACGAAGAAAAAAAAATTAGAAAACAAAAAAAATGGTGTCCGAAAATTGAGAGTGAGTTTAGTTTTAAATGCCTTAATCTGCGAATCTTTCAACAGATTACCGACAAGATAATACGTACATACGTTTTGTTGAATACTAATA